ACAGTCCATACCCCAAGCAATAGGACAAAACATTTCTCGAGAGACGTTCGTTCAGCCTCAAGAGGCACTGAACAACAACATGATAACCAGCACCAAGCCCTTGCGAGAGACCCCCTTCAGCCTCAAGAAGGATGTTTAGTGCTGGCCCCAGGGAGGTCCCTTCCTTCGTCTGGGAATTTCTTTTCCAAGAGACGTCCCGTCAGTCCCAAGGAAATACTGAAATGTTGAACTTAAAGAGGTCCCTTCCCTCATCTGAGTGAAGACAGGCAACTTAGTTAAGAAACACGAAGTCCCTCTACTGACAACTCTCAGTCAAGTAAAGCTGAACTTCTTTATGTCTGTCCTCATCTAAATTTCTTGGATGGACAACTTAGTTAGAGACACAAAGTTCCTCTGCTGACGACTCTCGATCAAAACTAACTGAACTTCTTTATGCCCATCATGCTTTTCTCTCTATCATAAAAATAATACTGATTACATCTTTTGATGTGCCACTCTCATAGATTTGACACTCATGGACCGACTGTAGCTCTGCATCAAAAAAACTGTCTTTTTAACTCTGTTACTTGCTGAAACAGAAAATTAACTGACATGTTGAAAACTGAAATACTGAATTGACAAATGCAAGAATGATCAAAGTCCGCTGAAGGTTTAGCCTTGCAGTCTCACTGTGCTTATTTTTCTTAATTTTTCGAAATTGCCTTCTTGCTGGATGACTGTTCTTTCTTTCCTTTCTTCCCAGTCATTGTGGGAACTAGGTCAGGGTCTCTGAAGATAAACTTACGAAGTCTGGACCCTGATACCATGTCGTGGACCCTTGAACCATCCATCTCAGATATCTCATAAACTTTGTCTTCTGCTTCACCGGTAATTCTGTAAGGACCAAGCCATCTGGGCTCCAATCGTTTAGTTCACTGAGTCTCAAGAGAACTATCGAACAAAAGGTCGACGCTACCAACTTTCAGTTTCTCTTTTCTTATATATCTTTTCTTGTTCCATCTCTTTTAATCTGACAGTCGGCTGGTTGCCATTCTCTCTGCACCATCCATAACTGCCTGATCAACTTCTGATATTTGTCTCATTCTGATTTGAAGAAGCTCTGGAATAGAATAGTCTCTATCACTCTCTTGACTTGACTATGTCTTGACTATGTTCTCAATAGGCAAAGTAGCATACCGACCATACCACGAGGTAAATGAAGCATAACCAATAGTCCTCTTTACAGTGATGTTGTCAGCATAGATAACAACTCGTATTACTTTTGGCCAGTTAGTGAGATTTTCCTCACACCACTTGGCCAATGAATCTTTCGAAGTTTTGTGACCCCTCTCAACAGGTGCATTTGCTTGAGGATGATAAGTAGTCACATATCGAATTCTGACACCCATTCTGAGAGTGGTTCTTCTTACAATCTCATTTCTGAACTCTGATCCTCTGTCTGAGAGAAACTCTCTGATGAAAGGATACCTGAGATAAACTTTCTCTATTCAGTCAGCCACTTGCTCGACTGTCTTCCTTTTCAGAGTTTTTGCCTTAACATATCACGAGAAATTCTCTCATGTTCAATATATATCTCATCCCGCCCTTGCCTAATGGCATGGTGATGAGATCCAAATGAACTCTGTTGTCCGGTTCTACTAAAATAGTAGGAAATAAAGGCTCAATCATCTTTGTAGTAGATCTCTTCTGACATAACACACATGATTTACAGAATCTGAAAATCATGTCTCTCATGCCAGACCAAAAGTAGAGTTTGACAGTCTTAGAGTAGGTTGCCTCAGCAGCTCTGTGGTCACCTGCAACCCCCTCATGTAGAGCAACAATTATCTCTAATTGTCTCTCTTTACCACAAACCACTCTTAGTGGCGGTAGTCCTCCCTTACCATCAACAAAGAGATGTCCTCTTTTTAATCTGAATTTTTTTCTTAAATTTTTACAATAATATCCCTTTAGCTGTTCTCTTTCCATCCTCTTACCAATCTCTTGATAACTTCCATCGTATTCTTTTGAAATGAAAAATGATTCTTCCTCCTTCTTTTCACCTTCTTCTTCTTCCTTTGAACCAGAGTTTTCCTCCATTTCATGAGCAGCCACAACCGCTGCGTTAACTCTAGCATACCAATCATTTGGCTCATCCTCTTCTTCTTTCTCAAGGATCGACTCATAAACATAGGTATCAAGGATCTCTCCCCAGCTGTCTTCAGGCCATAAGCTCCATTTGTAGGAACTTGGAGCCCTATAGTCTTCATCATCCTCTTCATTCAAAAAATTATCAACATAGGTTGATTCTTCAATCGTCCCGTTTACATCTTCTTCTTCATCTTTTCTCCATTTAATCCGGCTCAGGACATCTACTCTGTTCTTCTAAGTATGAATTTTTTCCAACTTAAAATCAAAAGTCCAGATGAAGGCAATCCACCTGCTGACTGTTGGATCTACTTGCTAGTGCTTCTTAATGACACCAATCACAGCAGATGCATCAGTCCTCAAGATGAATCTCCTCCCTAGTACATAGTGCCTGAAGCATCTGAGGCTATGGATAATTGCCAGTAGCTCTTTTCTGAACTGAGTATAACCTCTTTCTGTAGAGTTAAGAGTCCTGCTCTCAAATCTTAGAGGCCTCTCTTAACCATTTTCATCTGTCTGGATAAACACACCACCTAGAGCTACTGGACCTCCATCTGCCTCGATGATGAAAGGTTTTGTCTCCTCATCATCATAAAAAAACACTCCCAGCACTACACCCTCATCTTTTAATTTCTCCTGTAAAATTTCTGTAACAACTTGTTTTTTCTCATTCCATGCTAAATTAGCCCCTTGCCTTACCATCTCCCTCAGAGGCTCTACAAGGGTAGCAAAATAAGAACTAAAAATCCTCCAGAATCCACAAACACCCAAGAAGTTTCTGACGTCCGTCACTCTCTTGAGTGACAGAGACCAGTTCAAGATCTTGTCTATCTTCTTGGGGTCAGGACTCCTACCCTTGGAGAAATATCTGAAGCCCAATATGATTACCTCTGGTTGAAAGAGAAGGGACTTTGGTTCACTGGCAGTCAGGTTATATTTCTGAAGTCTCTCTAGGACCATCTTTACTCCTTCACCGTGTTCCCAGACAAACTTTTTGACTCCACCTGCGACCAAAGTCTTATCCCTTACCAGGGGTCCTTTCACAGGATTGTCATCAATATAGGGGCTGGTTACCTCAGGAGAAATGTTTTGCATGACTTGGATCATATTCCTTTGAACCACTGCCACACCATTAGTCCAACCCTGAGGTACCACGCACATCTGAATGAGCTTTTTTGGCGTGTGCATGACAGTCATTGGTCGACTAGTATGATCAATGAGAAACTGATCATAGCCAAAATATAAATCAACTAGGGAATAAATGCATCGACCAACACAGGATTCAGAAAGGAGATCAGCATTAGGAAGACTACCTGCATCACGTACCGTCACAGAGTTGAGCTTCTGAAAATTTTGTATCCATCTCAATCCAACCCCTGGTTTCCAAAAGCAAAACCAGTGGTCAGCATACGGTCCATCAACCGGTTCAACAATATTAGATGCAATCTTCTTGTCAAGATATTTTACAACATATGCTTCTTCTTTCAGGGCATACTTGGTTGGCCTGTCATTCCATGGAGCATGATCAACTATCCAAATTTTGACCATTTTGATCATATCCACGTCCAACGGCTCTCTCTTTTCATCATTAAAGGAGAATGCACCAGAGAACTCCTGACACATCTTGAACATACATTCTTTCTTTTTAGGCAAGATAAACTGATCCGAGCCTATCTTTATTGTGTGAAATCTCTCTTTGGTGACTCTATTTTTCAATTTTGCAGATTCCCTTAATGCTTTAATAATTTTCCTCTCTTTTTTCAATGCTTCATCATAATCCTTTTCTATTAGGATTGCCACCGGGTTTTTGTTCACCCCCTTGGGTTTATATTTTCTCTTTGACCCAGTGACTATTTTTCTAAAAAAGAATGAGTCGGTGCAAACTTCAATTTCATTCTGCCCCCCTTAGCAGTCTTCACAACCTTCTTAAATGCTTCAATTTGTCTGCCTTCATTTTTTAGTTTACCAAGGGCTTTTATCATTTTCGAAACTTAGTTAATACCGACTGAAACTTCTTCTTTAACCTCTTGTTTGCCCTCTTCTCTTAGTTTCCTAATCCTTTCAGTAGACTCTTATTTTTTTATTGGATTAGCAAACCACCGATGCTTGAAATCACTTTTAGTGCAGACCATAAAGGTCTGTTCCTGAGCAGTCTCTGGATCTTGTAGGCCGATCCAGGATGACCCCTCATGACTGAAAAATTGGATTGCCGCCATCCTATGCAAAAATGGAGTGCCCAAGATACAATCATGGTCCAGTTCCGGCACTACAAAACCCAGTAAATCAACTTACATAGTCCCTACTTTAATAGACAGATTATCAATAAAACCTGCCAGAAAACGTTATGCTGCAATATTACCCAATATGTTTTTTGCAGGTCTATCAATAAACAAGTAACAAACCTCCATTGTCCTCCGGAAAAGAAGAACCATCTCTGCCGCAGAGTCCAGTAAGGCTCGAATCTTCACCTGATTAATATAAATGATTAGGTGCCCACATCCCATGGTTGCGAATCTTATTTTATAACCTGGCAGTGATCTGTTCACTTGACTGGGAAAAGTTTATCCGAAGTAATTAACTTTCAGTTTCTTCTTCTCAATCAACTTTTTTAGTTCTTCTCTCAACTTAGGTGCAAGAGTCATTTGCTTCTTTGAATGACAAAGTCATTTCTGTCTCTTCCAGCATTTTAGTAATCATATCAGTAATCACAGTCTCATCTCCCAACTCACTCTTGAGGGCAAATTTCCTCTTCTTTCCTTGTTTTTCCTATGTGGAAGTTCTGGTTCCGGATCATCAAGAATATTAATCAAAGACTCCTCAACTTTCGTTCTTTTTTTTTCCTCTATCATCTGGGGCGTCAAGCGTGCTTGAAGGTTTCTCACTTCTCCAAGCACGACACTACGCTCCATAACGAGTTCTGGAGGTATGTCACCATCAAATGACATAATATTGACCAGGAAGTGAGCCGATTCACAAGAAGGAGATTCTACTAATTCAGAAGGGTTATGAGGAGTAAAATTTCCTTCTTGTGAAGGCTCACTTGTAGAAGCCTCGTCAGACGTATCCTTTATAAATATTAGGGATTGTAGAGATAACTCAATCGTGGTATGAGGGTCACTTGTTTCCTGCACAAGTTCATTAGGTAACTCGTCGATAAGAAAGTGAACATTCACATTAACCTTTCTTTTCTTCTTCTTCTTCATTTTTTCATCATGTTTAAGAGCAAGAAGTCTCATACCTCCTGGATGTCTAGGATTCAACTTGTTTCATGAACTATCACAGACATGACCCATAGCATCCTTCTTTGTCACCCGACTCTTCACATCCTGCTGAAGAGGCCTGCAATAGGTGGTAGTATGACCCTCTTCACCACAATAATAGCAGACAAAACTCTTCTTAGGACGGTCATCATACTTCCTTATTTCCCTGTTTCCTCTGTCACAATTCCCTCCATTCTTTTTGGATCTAGAAGAGTCTCCCTTCTTACCATAGCTCTCATCATCATTATCATCTTCCTCTCCACTTTCAACTTTCTTCTTTCCTCTGTCATCCACAACATGGTTTGTAGGCATACAGTTAGCCATCACTCTTTGAATAATATTTTTAACACTCAGATTGTTCTCTCTGTTCATACCAATCTCAGTCTTCCATTCCTTGACAAATGTACTGATCTGATCCAATGACCATTTCTTATGAGAAACCGTAGGTACAATTCTGACAATTGCAACCATTTCATCTCATCTGAGAGGATAGTGTTGAGCTTGATCAATAACAGTCTGTCTTTCGTTATCAGTAAAATTAGTCAGGAAAATGTGACATCTCTGAGCCTCATCCAAGTATGAAATTCTTCTAGCCATTCTGACAAAAGTCTGAAAGAAAACATTGAAAGTATCATACTTAACTCTTCTGATGTTGAGGAGATCTTTGGTAGCAGTTGGAACAAAGTCTTTCTCAAATTCTTTTTTCATTCTTTCTTTCACCTCTTCCCATGTAGTGGCCCCTTCCATCAACTCTTGAACAGTCAACCTCGAGTCAGTGTCACAGTAAGATAGAAGCTGCTTAAGTCGTTGCTTGTCTGTTCATCCATAACTGAGACCAAATAGCTCATACTCATCCAATAAATCATTTACTTGAGGTCCTCTAAAACATGGAATTCTCTCATCTAGCCTCTTTGCTCTTGCGATGTGTGATCCTCCTTTTATAGTGTCAACTCTCTCTACCAGTTCCCGTATAACACCCACCACAACCTCCTCATTAGTCCCTGCAGAAGAGTTTGGTCTTCCTCGTCCGACCATTTTGACCATAGGTTTTTCCTGGATACTTTCTTCTCTCTCTTCTGTCACTTCTGTCCTCCCTTTTCTTATTTTTCAATCTCTCATTTTTCTCGCAAGAGATACGCTCGTTTCTCTCTTCTCTTGTTTGCTCTACCCCTTGATAATTTTGTACATAAAGAGTGTAAGCAATAATAGACTGGGTAGTGATCAAGGGCAACGCAATCCTTTTCAATCTTCCAATATAGTCCTCAATCAACTCTCTTTCATCATCCCTACTCAATCTCTTATCATACCCTTTTACAGTCCCCCGAATCATAAAATATCGAGTCAAGTCTATAATCTCATAGTCAAATTGCATGGTTTATGATCCGGTGTTAATCCTCCTAGCAAGAGAGACTCGTTCCCTGGAAGAATGATAGGATATTCTCTCAGTAGCTCCCACTTTCACTACCTTTAATAGGTAGTTAATCTCAGTCTAGTCAGTGACAACTCTTAAGGCAGAGTCCCTCATACGATCAATGAAGGGTTGTAAGAACTCAATCTCATCCAGAGTAGAAAGACTCGTATCTGCAACCTGAAGAGTCCCCTCCGTTTTGACTATTCCGCCTTTTAATATAACCCCAAATATTAGTTGCTCAACAGAGCCATACATTCTTGATCATCATGATTATCATCAAGAGAGAGAAATCTCAAAAGGGACTTGATTTAGGATCTCGAACTGATGCTCGAAATTATCCAGGAGTAGGGACTTTATTATTACTGTCAAGTCACTTTCTCTCGCTTTACCAACGATGACAATGGCTTCTAGAAGAGACATCCAATCTCTTCTATCCTCAAAGTCATCAGCAGTTAAAAGGTTAGGAAGTTTCTCAAATTGTATTACTCCCTTTCCCCAGGTTACCTTTCTCTTTAATTTATGAAGCCACTCTTTGGTTCTTATGAGACTAATATAAGCACTAGTTCGACACTTCAAGTAATCATCTTCCTTCTCTAGGCATGCTGGTACATAAATTCTTACGTCCAGACTGCCAGTATTCAAGAATTTGACTACTGGGATGTGAAATATTATGTGCTCTCTCACACAAGTCTCATATCTCAAGATCACAAAGGGGTTATCAAAACCTATTACCTCATAAAGTTTACTTCTCACTGTGGTTATTCTTGCTACTGAGAATGTTTCTTTTGAACCCTCTTCATTTTCCATACGAAATCTATCATGGATGACCAATTGTGTCTTGAGAATGTAAGTCCTTCAACAGGTGGAGATGGTATTCCAACGAAAGGTCTGACATAAGTACTCAAGGAGAAACTCTCTCCTTCTCGCTCTAACATTCCTTTCTCATCATGCACAATGTCTGACGCTCGCTGCCAGCATGCACCTTTTCTACACTCTTCAAATCTTTGTCTCGGTACATAAATTCCAATATCATACTCATCAAGATCAATAAAATAGAAGGTAAGAACATACAAATTGTTCTGCTCTCGCCCTGGTTTCTTTATGGCCTCATACCTCACGATCTCATAGGGGATTACGGTTCTCCTCGTTATAGAATTGAGGGAATTTAACGGTTTATCTAATTCAACCTTACTCAACCCTCCATGACCTCTTACCAGTCTAAGCAAGGGTTTCTCTCTTGAGGGTACACAGCACGTTCTCGTTTACTGAGGCTGATGAATGTTCAAAGGGGGGGCCTTCATTAACCTATGGTGAATCGATTACGACAATTATCCATAAAAGCTCAGTATGACTTTCCCCTTTCGCAAGAATGATTAGGAGCGAGGATAACGGAGGAGGTAAGAAAAGAAAAACATATAACGAATGACGTGATTGATACACAAAATGGGGAACGGACAAGTGAAAAGACGTTGAGACAGGTTGCGATGCATCACTCCGGAGGCAAAAGTGAGGGAGAACATTCAATATTTCCATGAGACAAAACCCCAATCAAGTTGAAAACCATCAGAATCTGGTCGAGAGAGTGGTACTTAGCGTTGTTATCAATCCAGCAGCATCCAATATCTCTATCAAGCGAATAAGTATTGTGCCCTACAACTTGGTAAACTGTTTCCAGTGCCTTGCTAAGCAGTCGGTATACAACAATCTCAACAGCATTCCGTTCTCAGTCAGCAATTTCAGCAGCATTCAGTTCTCAGTCAACAATCTCAGCAAAATATTCAATCTTAGTCTGAACTGAACAAGCACTTAATTGTTGCTATCCAACACAAAGTTCTACACTATTCAGATGATACCTTGCCAAAAGGCACAGACCAGTCCTAACTTCGACCTCAGCACATGAGTACGGTCCAGATCTTTTCAGTCAAGAGGTCAGTCTTGACCAACCTCAATCAAATAGCCCTCAAAGATGCGATCTAGTATCAATATGTCAGTGTCGTTGGTTTCAGACGGGATGACTTGTCGGTCTTTGTGGTTCTCACCAGCTTTGTCTCCGGTATTATCTATAACCTGAGGCCTTATATGAAAAAGGGGAAGGAAGTCCATGACCATTTTGACTCAATCTGGATCGCAGCAGCCAGGTATCTCGAGGAGAAAGAAAGAGAGTTTGATGAGGGAGGGACAAGGCTGATCCGTAGCTTCGGACCCAAGCTCTATTCTGACTATCCTAAGCCTCCAGTGCTCATCACCCTCACTGATGGCTCTTGCTGGAGTGACATAGTGGACCTGGCAAAGAGGTACATCTCTCCGGCGGCGATCGATTACAAGGCAGTGACCGAACCCTCAGATTTTCAGCATCTAAGACGAGGGATTTTCTCTCGACCATATCTTCCCACACTCTGGGAGGAGTTTTGTGCCATGGTCAATTTCCGTATTATGGGACTTGGGTGGAAGTGCTCGGAACTAGCAGGTTTTAGGTGGCTCTTTATTCAGAGGCCACAGACTCAGCGACTACGGGGACATGGCTCGAGCCACAAGAAACGCACAACAAGTGAGAAAACGAGTGAGAGAATCATAGGGATGAGTGAGGCCTCCTGACTGGTGCTGGCCATGCTCTCTACATGTGTACTCCTTGAGACTATTATGAGTTATCATTCTTCCCTTATCTGACTGTGTTATTACTCGAGTCGGTCAGTCTTGCTTCTTGCATTGTCATTGCCTGGTCATTATGTTTCCTGATGTTTCTGTCACAGTTCTCAAAATCAGAAAATTGCAGAACTGATACATGCATGACATATTCAAAGCCCATGATTATTATTTGCATTATTCTTTGCTGTTCCGAATCAAAATAAAAGATTCCTAAGACCGGGGACCGGCGAAGACCGCAATTGAAGCGTCTCGCTCAAAGCCGGACGCACACAACAAGAAGGGATTTGCTTTCAATTGATTTATTTAATTTATTTTATTTATTGCAAACGTCATCCAAAATCCTGCGTGACAGCCTGTTGGCTTTCCGATCGTCTGAAGTAGCCCGACTGGAAAAAGTGCCACAAAAATGGCGTCGTTGCCGGGGACATGAAAAATTTTCGTGTCCGGAACGAGCCTGGGTCAGCAAACAACTTTGAGTTTTGATTAGGCCTTGAGAACTGTCTGAATTTTCCAGACTAACTTTGCAATCTTCCTTGAGTCATTATTCTCTTGGAAAGCCAAGTTACCTACTAAATCTTATTTTCCCCTATGTGAGGTACCACACTG